AGTAGAGTTTGCACTCAATCCACCATCTTTTGACAATGATGAGTTATTTCCTGCAGATGATGGTGATGAAGATGGAACTCCATCAATCAATTCTCTTAAATGGTTGATTAAAGTATCTAATCTTCTATTCAAATGGGAAGCTTGTGGCGTCTTTTTAGAATTATTAATCTTTGGAGCTGGTTTACTTGGTAACTCTCCTTCTTGTGCATTAGTAGATTTATTATTTTCTTCCGATTGTACTTGATCAGCTGATTGAGGTTCTTCACTGATCTCTTTTTTAACTTGTTTTTTCACTGTTGATCTGTTATCAATAAAAATTTTATCACCTAAACCTAAGAAAGGATCATCTCTTATAGAACCCCAGGAATTGTAACCATACTTGTACAAACCAATTAATAATTTTTCATCATCATCATTAGTCCATGGAACTGACCAGGTGACTTTTTGAGAACAATGTCTTTCCAAACTTAATGATAAATCAGGATCATTAATATCTTTGTTTCCATTATTTGCATTCATAAATTTCCTTAATAAACTCATATCATTATGTTTTTTCAATAAAGTCTCAGCATTAATAGCTTTCAAACATCCAAAGTCAAATGCAATAGATTTCTTTTCTCTTTTCTTTGCTATCAATAGTTTCAGTGGATTCTCTTTATCACTAACATTTTCAACATTGATTTCTCCTCTTTTCAATTTCTCATTAAACTCATCAGCTTTCTCTTCAAATCCTTTCAAAACTTTCTTTCTCTCTTCTTCTTGTTTAGGAATTTCGGCCTCTGCCATTCTAATCATATCATGATATTTGTCTAAATAGGCACCAGCAGTCTTTTTCATTGGAAGTTCAGTATCATTCATTAACTTTTCTATCAATCTAATATCTAAAGAACCATATTTTTGTTGGGCTTTGAATAAAGCTTTCAAATCTCTATCATCAATTTTATTGTTTATTCCTCTGGTTCTTTTATTGCTCTCAAAATCACTATCTTCATCATCATCATCTCCAAATTCATCAACAAGACCAGTATTGCTTCTCATCTTATCTAATGTTTGTTTTCTTCTTGCTAATATTCTCATTTGTTCCTCTACAAACATATCATCTTTTGCTTTTTCTTCATCTTTCTTGATTTGAACTAAATCCTCTTCAGGGATAATATCATCCCATTCAAAGTTTGTATTGACATCTGTGACTTCAAATTGTTTCAAAAATTCTTCACCACCTAAATGGGATTCACCAACATCAGGAGTGGTTTCATGATCTTCGGCATGATTTAAAACATCATCTAAATTCAATTCTTCTAATTTCTTTTGATTATCATTTGCTTTGAACATATTATCAGCACCAAATTTCAAAATATTTGCCAATTCACCAGAGTTTGGTTGGTCCTTCATTTTCTTTAAATCACTTTCAGCTTTTTGATTGTTTAAACCTAGAGAGATAATAGCATATTCCAAAACCATTTTCTTTCTAGCCCTTTCTAAAATTTCTTCTTCAACTGTATCCTTAGAGACAAATCTATAAACCATGACATGGTTCTTTTGACCAATTCTATGGGCTCTGGCCATAGCTTGTAAATCAGCTTGTGGATTCCAATCAGAATCAAATATGATTACAGTATCAGCAGTCATTAAATTAATACCTAAACCACCAGCTCTTGTAGATAGTAAAAACACTTCATCTCTAGAATCAGGAGCATTGAAATGGTCAATAGCTATACGTCTCTTTTGAGAAGAAACAGTACCATCTAATCTTTGGAATTTGATATTTTTGAAAGCTAAATAATCACCTAAAATATCCAACATTCTAACCATTTGAGAGAAAATCAATACTCTATGCCCATCTTTTTTCAATTTATTTAAAAGTTGATCTAATAAAACCATTTTACCACTACTCATAATAATACCTTTCAAAACACTTTCTCTAGAATATTCATTATTTTCATTTTTACCAAATCTAGTATGAAGAACTGCATTTTCAGCATTTTCAAACAAATATGGATGATTAGATACTTTTCTCAATTCATTCATTACATTTAGTAAAGAAATGTGACCACCTTGAGTAGAATTTGTTAAAGCAGAATAATTTTTGGTCAAAATACTTTTATAATAATCAGTTTGAATATCTGATAATTCAACTCTTAAAATTCTTTCTGTCTTACCAGGTAATGATTTTTCAACATCTTTTTTAAGTCTTCTTAAAATGAATGGCTGTAATCTTATATGTAAATCAGTAATGTAATCTTCTTGTTCCTTATCTTGGTTTTCAAAATCAATTTCTTGATCAATAGTAAACTTACCAGGCATTAAGAAATTAATCAATGCATCCAATTCTTTAATATTATTTTGTAATGGTGTACCTGTAATCAATAACTTATTGGCAACTTTGAAACTGAAAAGGGATTCATATAGAGAAGATTCATCATTTTTTAATCTATGGGCTTCATCGACAGCCAAATATTGCCAATTAATTCCACCTAATAAATTTCTGTCTTTCAAAATATATTCATAAGTAGTTAATAATATATTAAACTTTAAATTTTTCCCATTGTATAATTCATGTTCTCTAATAACTTTTCTAGATTCAGTACCACCTAAATAAACTATTAAATTCAATTCTGGAGCCCATTTTTCAAAAGTTTCTTGCCAAGCATGTAGTGTACTTAATGGAACAACCACTAAATGAGGACCATATTGTCTTCTAGAGTAAACAAGCCAGGATAAAAAGCAAACTGTTTGAACTGTTTTACCCAAACCCATTTCATCTGCTAAAATACCATTTTCATCCTTAGACCATAAAAATGCCATCCAATTTAAACCTGTTAATTGGAAATCTCTTAATTGTAAGTTCAATGGGTTCTCTTTACCACCAATATATTTTGGTTGTTCTAATAATTTTTCAAATTTAGGTCTTTCTTCTCTTGGATATTTTGTAGAGTTTTTAGGAATAATAGAAGATTTAGTTCTTGCTTGGTATAGTGAAACTTCTCTTGGTGTCAATTTAGCAATCATAGAGGAATCTTCAAATGTACACTCATCATATGGCAATCTTCTCCATTTAATCAAATATTCTAATTTACCTGTTTCTTCATTTCTTTGAGAGCTTACAATTCTTTCAACTTGTTTACATTGTTCCCATTCCTCTCTAATTCTTTCATTATTCAAACTCATTGTTTCCAAGTCTTCAGCTGTAGTGTATGGACTGTTTATAATATCAGCTTCATCTATCAAAACTTTTTTACAGTAATTATCAAGTCTTTTGATACCTTTTGTTGTAGAGGTTAGTGGGGGTAATTTTTGTAAGTCATTTTCAGTTTCCATTGGGAAATTACCAAAATGGTAAACCTCCCAAGTATTATGTAGATGGGATTTACCTTGCCATTTGATTAAGAATTCAAACTTCTCTTTACATTCATGAACAGTTAAAGCACCAACTTCCTTTGGCAAATCACTTTCTGTATAAATATCTTTGAGTCTATTGTCAACAATCAAATCAATAACATGTCTTGGATCTTCCAATGGCTCCTCATAATCTTCCATATCCTGATCACTAATAAGGAATTGTTGATCAAATTCATCTTCTTCACTTTCTTCATTTACTTCAGAAGATTCAGTTTCAGAATAATATTTACTCCTGCTTTTTGTTGGACCTTTTTTGTTCATTTTAAGTTTCAATTTTTTGACAGGTGGTGGAGCGACAGCCCTTGTAGTTCTTGATTTAGGAGTTCTACTTGTAGATGTATTCTTTTTTTCTTTTTGACAACATATTCTTCTTCAGAATCATCATCAGAGTCCTCATTGTAAATAGATTTGTTTTTTTCAGTATAATTTACAACTGTTTTACGTCTATTAGAAAATCTTGTAGGCAAAGCGGCATCTAAATCTTTGGTAGAACTATTTTTAGTATTAGTACCTCTTCCTCTTCTTCTGCTAGTAGAAATATTTTCAAATTCTTCATCTTCGTCTTCCTCATCATACATATCTTCATCAACTTCAAAATTGTCATCATCTTCTTTAGATGTATTTTTATTTCTAGAAGTTCTCTTACGCGTATCAATGTCATCAGATTCAGTTTCAGATTCGTAAAAGTTTGTAGTTTGAACAGGTCTTCTAGATGATCTTCTCAATCCATAAAGCTCAGGATTATCTCTAGCAGCATCTTTTAAATTAAAACTCATTGTTAATATTTATTGGTTACTGTTAATATATGTTTCAAAAAAAGTGAAATAAATTATTTTTTTTTTAAAAAATTTTTTTCCAAAGTATAAACAAAAAAATATTGGTGCAAAATTAACTTTATTTAAAAATTGGCGTTAAACAAATTATTTACAGAAGGAAACTATATTACAAAAATTATGTAAATAATTTATGCAAATAACTATTAAATGCTTCTTTGTTATACTAGATTTTTTTAATAAATTAAAAAAATATATATACTGTTAATTTTAACTATTTTTAACAAATGTTATCTTGGTTATATTTTAAGGTTATTATTTACAAAAGATTTAATGGAATTATTGTTATTAATTTTTTTTTTTTTTTGTGTTGTGTATTATATTTTTTTTTTTTTCTCCATGTAAAAAAAAAAAAAATGGGAAAAAAAAAAAAAAAAGAAAAAAAATTTTCGTCACTTGATGTATTGTTTTTTTTTTGTTTCTCATTTACCAAACATTCGACTTTTTGTTATGTAACTCTGTAATTTGAAAATGAAAAAAAGAGAGAGAAAAAAAAATTTTCATCAAAAAAAAAAANAAAAAAAAAAAAAAGGAATTATCACATGCACCTGTTTAATTCAAAAATATGAAATTAATATAAAATTATAATCTATATTTAATAACTGTACGTATTATTAATATTAACTTAATAAATATATTAAAGCATTAATTTTTTTTTAAAATACCTGTTCCAACAATATTTTTTTTTAATTTAATAGTTTTTTGTGTTTTTAGTTGAGGGGAAATCTGAAGAACACTCAAAAAAAAAATGAAAATCTACTTTAACTATCCGCTATAGTGTAGGGGTTTAGCACGTCGCTCTCTCACGGCGAAGACCCGGATTCGAATTCCGGTAGCGGAAAGAATAAAAAAATTTGTTTTTAGATAATCTAATCTAGTTTTTTTTTTTTTTTGAAACACATTAATTAAAATATATATTTTTATGTATTTTATTCACTTCAGTAATACTTAAACAAATACTTTTGGTTCTAAAGTTGAAAGTTCTATTGATTCTAAATTTTTATTATGATTATCAATATTACTCATAGTGTGAGAAACAAACTCTTTATTCAAAAAATCATCAAATTTGTCATCTGTTTTTTTAAAAGTGATAATGTCACTATCAGTGTCCTCAATTAAATCTTGTTTTTCAATTGTATCTTTTTCATTTTGTAAATCTTTCCAAAAATCAATTTCAAAAGCACACCAAGGATTTTCATGAATCATTTCAATTTTCTCTTTTAATAAAAAATAGTTTTCATTTACAGAAGAGCATGTTCTTTTTGTAAAAAATTGCATCATTTTACTTGGATATGACATTTTTTGTTTCAAAATTGTAAGTTCATTCTCTAAATCTTTGGTAACAGTATCTACATAATTATTTGATGCCCCCATTTCAAAATTTAATATTTCAACAATTTTAGAATCACCATTTGTTTTACCATATCTTGGATCAAAATTTTGCCTAAAAAATTTTGAGTTGTATAAATTACTCGTTTCTCCTTTAAACAGCATCTCATCTTTAACTTGTTGCATAATTTCAGCAATATTTTTTTTACTAACTGATTCATCATTATTTATCTTGATAGTTTTAAAAACTGGTGGTGAAATTTTTATTGGTAAATCTAATAAATTGGTTAATGGGGAATAATTGTTTTCATTCTCTAACAAAATACTTTTATTTTTACACATAAAAGAACTGTCACTAGCAAAGGATAATTCTTGATTTAACTCGGAATCTTCAATTTCTGGACTTTCAATATCATAAATGTCATGTTGATTTGTATCTTCATTTATACCATCATTTTTCAAGGATGTAATCATCTCAACAATATTAAATGGATTTGAAGAAACCCTATAGTGACTATGATTTGGTAAACTAGATATTCTTCCAACAATTCCATTAGAGAAAGGTGATGACGATACTAAAGTGGCAGAAGAAAGTTTGTTAAATTTATCTACAGTACTTGGAAATACATTTTTGCTTTTTTGTAGAAATTGTAATGGAGGTGATGAAATTCTTCTAGTCATATTATTAACTTTTGCAATACTGATATTATTTGAAACAAATGATTCTCTACTTGTAGGTCTGATTGTGGTTTGAAAACTTGGCTGTCTTAAGATAGAAGCTTCTTTAAAAGATTCTAGCCCAGCAGATCCATTTAATGTGGCTGCACTTCCATAATCTTTTGAAATAGAATTTTTCCTATGATAATCAATTTCTTTATGTTGTAGTAAAGATTTACTTCTTTTAATAAATTGATTATTTGAAAATGAAGTTTCGTTGGTAGTAGACATTATTAAAACTGTATATTTTATTTTATGGTTTTTATTCTTTTTTTCTTTTTTTCTTTTTTTCTTTTTTCTTTTTTTTGTAAACATTTGAAAAATAGAAAATTTATTTATTATAATTAATTAATGTTTATATATTAATATTTTAAAATCTTTTTTTTTTTTTGTAACTTAAAAAAAAAATAAAATAAAATGTTTAATTGATTAAACGAATTTCCATAAAGGGAGAGTATCCCGAGATCACAAAATTATTATGTTTCTAAAATATCAAACTTCCTAATATATATATATATACAAATTATCAATAAAACTAATATGACATATGATCCTATTTATTTTCTATCACATCATGAATCATTTCTTTAGAATAGTCTAGTAAGTTTTCATTTTCTTTCTTGAGTTTTTCTTGCTGTTCTTTTTCCAACTGTATCAAAGCTTGAAGATTTTGTTTTAAAATTTCTTTAGCATCTATTTCATCTTTTATAGTGGATATTGATGTTTTAAAATTTTCAAGTTTAGAAGGAGGTAAAGACATAATCTACAACAGCATCTGTAACAGGTAGTTTAACTAATCTTTAAATGTAAATGTTATCTGTGAATATCTATTTAAAAATTTTAAAAAAATATATATTTATGTGTATAAATTTTTCTTTACAAATATTTACAAAAAAAAAAAAAAAAAAATGTCCACATTTTTCAAAATTGAATCACATGAATTGTCATTTTAAATCATTCCTGAAACTCATTAATCTCAAAATAATATATACAATCCTATTTTCTTATCTTTTTTTCTATAAAAATGCTATTAAAAAAATAAAGTTAAATATATACAATCCCTAATTACCTCTTTCATTAAACAAAAAAAAAAAAACAAAACAAAACAAAAAAAATCATTAATTATTCAGATCTTTCATTTACTGCTACATTATGTGTTGATGATTTATCACCAAACATTTTTTTAATACAAACAATACCACCAAGGAAACTGAAACTACCACACATCATACCAATCAATAATCCTAAACTTAAATATTTGACAAAATTATGGTAAGATTCAACAACTACACAACCATAAACAAATATGTACAAAAACATTCCCATAAATAAAGTCATGTAAACTTTCCAGCACCATTTCCAGTTTTCCAATAATAACAAGAAATAAAAAATTATAACACCCATTATGAAACAATTGTAAGCTACAACAATCAATGAAGCACAAATCAAAATAAAGTGTTCTTTTGGAATAACCCCATTCACAATAATATCATCAGTAAATGTATGTTTCAACACTAAAAATAATGAAGAGAAAGGTAAAGCAGCAACCAAAACACATAAAACTACTAATTTAGAAAAAAATGGTTGAGGAGGAATCAATCTTTGAATTTTATTAACTTTTCTTTGTGTCTTTTCACCACCATACATTTTTTTAGCAATCACAGAACCTAATAATGAAGATGGGATGTAAACAATGAGCCACATTGGAACAAAAACAAACAGTGTTTTGAAAGGGACTACCGAAGGTGAGTGAATATGAGATGGTAGTTTAATGATATTGATTAAGTTTATTGACAGTAGTAAACCAAATGCTAAAAATGGAACTAAACAACAATTCAAAGTCATATTTCTCTTGAAAAGTCTACCATCATAAAAAATATAAAGTTTCATGGAAATGAAAGATGTAATTCCAGGTAGCAATGTGAAAATTAATATAGCACCTGTGGCAACAATACCTCTGTTTCCAGGAGACAAAAGCCCTACAGAACCTAAAATACCAATTATTAAACAAGTGACCAAAAGATGGATTCCAGAGCCAACAAGACTACAAAGCAAAGAAAGTTTAGGAGGTTGTCTATAAATATCACCTAATAAAAGCTTCCATCCTTGATCATCATCAAATTCCATATCCAATGTTTTCTCAAAACTGTTTTGCTGTTTGTATTTGTTCATATTCCAAATGACAACTTTGTAAATTGCTATGCTTAAAACCAGATTTACTCCTAAAAGAATCAGCAAACTGTTCCAATCACCTGAAATTATCAGTTTTTGCAAAGCCAAGTATCTATTCCATCTTTGATCATAAGAGATATTTTCAGTTTTTATGTACTTGACAGATATTGTGTAGTCAATAGATGTCTCTCTATCCAATGATAATTCTTTTGGATTACCTGTGAATGAACAATAGTTTGAGATGGTTTTTAAATTATTTTGATATTCATTTCTTTTAATACTCAAAGGGGTAACTGTAGTACCAACTATCACATACTCATCTGTGTTTATTTCACTATACTCTATCATTATATTGAAATGATTGTAGATTAAAGGCTTGTTGTAATAATCACTTTTTTCATTAGAATCATCATAATAACCCACATCAAAGCTATTGGAATAATACTCTATAATATCTTCACTCCCTTTATTCTTTATATTGTATTTATAGCCTATAGGAAGATCATCAATAAACCATTGGTATTGATACTCATCAACTATCAAGCTGTCTATAAATTCTGCATCTTCTGGTGAGATGGTTGAGGAACAAATCTTTTGGCATTTCACATCAACACCAAAAGTTATGGCTTTGTTTTGGGTGAATGGTAGTTCATATATTCTATCTCCTAATAAAATTGATCCCAAGTTTTCTTGAGCTTTTGTATTACCATTTTCAGATTTACACATGTGAATATGTTTATTGAAAAAATCATACATGTTATGATTATTTACTTTTGATAATTTAGAAGTAGTCAAATGATTTACCATGATGTGGATATTATTTGATTCTTCAACTCCATTTTTAGTTAAGCTATAAGTATTAGGTGAGAACTTAGGTAGATTAAACTGTTCACTTAATCCTAAAAACCCAACTAAAAATATAGATAAGTAGATAAATAACATATTTCTAAGATATTTAGAATCATAAAGTTGGTTTTTATAAAATTATATAATTTTTTATAATTATTTTTTTTTTTTTTCCAAAAATAAAATTTTAAGATTTGTAAAATATCTCCTAGTTAAGGGAATAGTAGAGGTGATGGAAAAAACATAAAAACGAAAAAAAAAATATATAAACAGTCTAGAACGAATTCAATATATCTCACGTGTAGTATTTTTTTTCATGTATTTTTTTTTTTTTTTATTTTTTTTTTTTTTAAACCTTAAGTTATTTACATCTTTCTTACAATCTAATAATCAATATTAACAAACCCAAAACTAATGTCTACCTCAGATATACCTTTAGTAATTGATAATGGATCATATAAAATAAAATTTGGATTTGCTAGTGAAAGAAATACACCTAATATTGTAAATAATTGTATAATAAAAACCAAATCATCTTTTGGTGATAGATATTGTATAGGAAATCAATTAGAAGATCCAACAATTCTAACTTCAACAACAAACGCATATATTAAAAGACCTAAAGAGTTTGGAAATTTAACTAGCTGGGAGACACAATCTGAACTATGGGATTATTGTTTTTACAATCCATCTGAATTTAATTTTGATCTTAATGAACATTTTTCAATGCTTAATAATGACGATATTAAAACCCCGCATCTGATATTAAGTGAAAGT